TCACTATCTGCAGGGCTCGTGTTGGGTTTGCAAATAGCAAAAACAATTGCCCATCAGAGACAGAGAGAGAGAGAGAGAGAGATATTTGTTGTTGAGACTTGAGTGTTAAGAAAGTGATCCAAAAAAGAAGTGGTGGTGACATTTAAAAGAGTAGTAATACTCTAACTTAAAAGATAAATTTATTTTTTAAATTTAATAATGTGACAGTTTATTAAAATATTTAAAATAATTATTTCTTATATTTTTTGTAATCCTCAATTAATTATCTCGTTTACACTTGACTGAATCTTAAAAATAGATCTAAAAAATCGACTTCTACATCATTTTTTCATTAAAAGATGTTGTGAAAGAAAAGAGAGAGAGACTATATTGTCAACACGCATGCAAGAGAGGCCCGGGTTAATCGAAGGTGGTGCATTGATTGGCATTTTTCATCCTTGTGCTTCTGTCCAAAATCTTTGTTACCCAATGGCAAGATCATGTACCTTAACATTCTTATAGTTTAAGTAATATTTTTTTGAACGCAGTTTAATGTAATATTTGATTGTAAGATTAGGTTGATTGGAATTATAAGTATGATAAGATTGATTGCTAATATTATTAATGTGATAGTATTAAGTTAGAGAAGTAAAATTAATTATGTTTATTTATGCACTAGTGTAGTAGTATCAGTTGGTTAAGATTAAATTTATGAAATTACTTAAAAGTTCTAAGGCCATGTTTGTTTACCGGATTAAGTTGGAGGAGATTGTGAATACGGTGGAATTGAATGATGAAATTAGTAATGCGGTAGTATTAAATTAGAGATGTAAGATAAAGTATGTTCGTTTGAAGAATATTGTGGTGGTATTAGTTGGTTAAAATTAAATCTATGAAATTACGTAAAAATCCTTATTACATAAAAAAGAGATTTTATTGTATTTGATAAATAAAGGACAAAATAAACATTTTGCTTCAATCCAAGGGGATTGGATTAATCCTAACCCCATCCATGGGAATGCAAATCCTACGCCCAAGTAGGATTAATAGTCATATAAGACTCATAGTCCCTTATCATATCGCACAACAAATATGAATTTGATAGGACCTACGGGATTATTAATTCAATCCCACCACCGAAGAGGCTAAACAAACCTGGCCTATAAAATAAACTTTGTTGTTTTTATAAATTGAGAGTAATAAAGTTTTTTTCACCTTCTACTCCAAATCTCATGTTATTCTTCAACAACCAAACATGATTTTCATGGATCCCATGGATTTCTTCGAACCTATAATTAAACATGACTTATTTTATCTACATCTTTACCATTGAGAGTGCATTAAATTTTTTAGAGAAATCTCTCCATGCGGTATGCTATATAATAAAACTTACAAAATTTCTGTAAAAATTTATTTGTGAGGCGTATCATATTAATTTATAAGTCTCTCAATGTTTCAATCATCCATCAATTTTTAATAAAAAAAAAATCATTTGTATAATATTTTTCTTTGTAAAAGATCTAGTAGGTACTGTAGTCTATGTCATAGACATAGAAGACTCCTCCGCACAGGTCGTCAATGAACGAACTTCATCACTATACAAGTGGCTCAACCTGACAAGTCCAGAAACACCCTTATTAGGAGGGTAGTGTGGTCCTCCTCCTCTATGAAGTTGTTTGTATCAATGGAGACATAATGGGGTTGTTTTTATAATTTTTAATTTTGAAAAAGTTATTTTAAATTGTTTGGTTAAATTTATTTTAAAAAGTTTTTAATTCTAACAACTTAGTTTAACTTTAAAAAATTGATTCTGAGAAACTGTTCACTCCTTATTTCTGATTATCAACTTCTACTGTGGACATGTCAATTTACGGTTATACTCTTAGATTTTTTTTATTTTTTATTTTTTTAAAAATAGAGAAAGACCCAAATGAACTATAGATTATTATTATTATTTTTTATGAGAAATGTAGACAAGTAGTGAATAACAAAAAATAAAAATTATTTAAAAAAGTTACTTCACAGTTTATTTAATAAACACTACTCAGCAATTTAAATCTATAATCCAACAGCTACACCAAACAAATTAACAGCTTCTGATTAAAGTCATAATCTATAATCTGTTAAGTTATAATCTATAATCTATTTTAACAATTATACCAATTGAAAACACAAACAAAATATTTAAACAAATTGAAAACACAAAATTTTATAAATTATTAAGGGTGCTCGCGGTTTGGCGGTTCGGTTGCGGCCAAAGGAACCTCAAATCCGCCATCCGTCCGCCAAATTGACGGATTGGAGAAAATCTATTTGCAATCGTCTGTTCATCATCACGCATCCGTCCAAAATGCGGCGGATTGGTTCGATTCGGTCGGTTTTGACGGATCGATATATCCGCTGCTCACCCCTGCTTCAAACCTATAATTAAACATGACTTATTTTATCTACATCTTTACCATTGAGAGTGCATTAAATTTTTTAGAGAAATCTCTCCTTGCCATATGTTATATAATAAAACTTACAAAATTTCTGTAAAAATTTATGTGAGGCGTATCATATTAATTTATTAAGTCTCTCAATGTTTTAATGATCCATCAATTTTTAATAAAAAAAAAAATCATTTGTATAATATTTTTCTTTGTAAAAGATCTAGTAGGTACTGTAGTCTATGTCCTAGACATAGAAGACTCCACAGCACAGGTCGTCAATGAACGAACTTCATCACTATACAAGTGGCTCAACCTGACGAGTCCAGAAACACCCTTATTAGGAGGGTAGTGTGGTCCTCCTCTATGAAGTTGTTTGTATTAATGGAGACATATAATGGGGTTGTTTGTTTGAATTTTTTTTGAGTTAACTCATAATTTTTAATTTTGAAAAAGTTATTTTGAATTATTTGATTAAACTTATTTTAAAAAGTTTCTAATTCTAACAACTTAGTTTAACTTAAAAAAGTTGATTCTGAGAAACTGTTCACTCTTTACTTCTGATTATCAACTTCTACTGTGGACATGTTAATTTACAGTTACACTCTTAGATTTTTTTTATTTTTTATTTTTTTAAAAATAGAGAAAGACCCAAATGAACTATAGATTATTATTATTATTATTTATAAGAAATGTAGACAAGTAGTGAATAACAAAAAATAAAAATTATTTTAAAAAGTTACTTCACAGTTTATTTAATAAACACTACTCAGCAATTTAAATCTATAATCCAACAACTACACCAAACAAATTAATAGCTTCTGATTAAAGTCATAATCTATAATCTGTTAAGTTATAATCTATAATCTATTTTAACAATTATACCAAATGGGGCCAATATAATAATAAGCCCCGTTTGGTAGAGCTGTGGGAAAGTGCTTATAGCTTATGCCTAAACAGCTTATAGCTTATAACTTTCAGCTTAAGCTGATTTCCAGCTTATTCTTAAAGCATATCCTGCCCCACTCAAAGAATAAGCTGTTTTCTGACTTCCACAAAGCTATAAGCTATAAGCTATAAGCTATAAGCTAAACCAAACACATCAAAATAGCTTAAATTAAGCTGAAAGCTGAAATAAGCTGTACCAAACAGGGCCATAGAGGGCAGCGTTTGGAAGGAATGCAGAATTTACAACACAAACAATCACAAATGTGAAACAGTGGTGGGATTCATATATAAGGCTTATTATATCGGTGTTTGGAAAGCGGGTTTTTATATAATTTTTTTTAGTGGTAGGATATTATTGGATAAAAAAAATTTAGTGTTTGGAAAGATAGTTGAGTTTTTTTGTGGTTGAATGTAATATTTGTGAGAGAAAAATTGAAATAATTATGGAGTTGGATATGATATTTTGTTTGGATTTGTTTTTTTTTATTTTGCAAAAAAATTATCTTTTAGTGAAAAAAATCAAAAAAAACCCAACAGACTATGTTTCAATTTTGGTTTTTAGAGTGTTTCATAATAATAATAATAATAATAATAATAATAACAGAAAAGAAAAAAGAGAAGGATGTGGTTATGAGAAAAAGATCTTCCAACTCCTCCACAAGTGCAATTGTACACTCATTTTATGATCTTCAGATTAATTGTACTGGCTTGGGTTTTGGTTCAAACAAAACAGAGATATGTTGGGTCTTGTTTGGTAATATTTATAATTTTTTATTTTTTATTTATAAAAAATATTGATATGTTTATATTTATTTTTGATAAAAATGAAAATAATTTTTTTTAATGCATACATATGTTTTCCAAAAATAGTTTAAAAAATAAAATAAAATGTTGCTAGCTGTGGTTGGAGCTGGGAGGACTCACCAGAGATAATGATTGGGTAGCTGCCCTCTCCCTCTCGCTCTCTCTCTCTCTCTCTTGCGGACATGGCCAGCCATGGGGAGGAGGGAGCTGGAAGTGGTCAGGGGAAGTCAGGGTTGAAGTGGTTGAGGAAAGGTGAGGTTGGAGTAGTCCGGGGAAGGTAGAGGTGGGTTGATCATGGATGGTGGCAGGGGAAACAGGCGACAGACAGCGGCAGGAGAGGATAGGAGGGGTTGGGGTAGTCAAGGGAGGAGGCCGGTGGGAGTGGCAGTGACTGACAGTTGACAGTTGAGTTAAGGTTTCTGAGATTGAGAATAAGAAAGAGTACTTCTAATATAATGTGCTTACTGTGTCCACATACAAAACATGTGCACCAAGAGAATTGGGTGAATAAAAACTCCAGTTTTTAAGTGCCATCTTAAACTAGAGATGATTAAAAAGACAAAGAATTTCGATGAAAAAGTACACGATCATATCCTCTGCAGAAAGTTTTCCAAGAAATGAAAATCACGTGAAAGGTCAGAAGTTTTTAGAAACAAATTAACAACTCTAGAGAAGAAGATGACTTTCAAGATTTAAGAAAGCAATCTTGCTTTCAGCTTGAGACTTCTGTGAGCAGTTGGGGAACATGAAGTTGACAAGGAGTAAAGAACCAATGGGGAAATATTGAAAGACAAGCACGTAGCACATTCAAAATATAAAGACAAGAAGAAATCCGAGATATGGTGACTTGTAAAATCAGTGTTTTTGAGAATTAGAAAGAAACATAGAAACATCTGCACAGGATCAGTTGTTTGGGAAAAAAAAAAGCATACAGAATTCCCTCATAATGTGCAACATAAGTTAAAGCCAACTTAAGCGTTGAAATTTCATCCAACTCTCTACAAGCTAAAAGAACAAGCCATGACGAACCTCTATAAGACAGATACTGGGCAAACACCCCATGGACGAAAAATAACTTTAAGTGCCACAAGTACCTTAAATATCTGTATCTATGTATGTATATATGTAGATATATTAATCAGCAGATGAGTTCTAAAGAAATGAACTGAGTACTCAGTGAATTGATGCGCGCGGAGTACGGGGCCGAACAGGTGTCTTTGATGGGCTTACCCTACAGTCGTGCAACACAAAAAATAAAAATAAACAAAACGACAAGATTAAAAAATAAATGAATGAATAAACATTAATTAACCTAGTTCAGCCAAGTGAAGTGAAGAGAGAAGGAATGATAAGATGAAAGAATCATGGGCACAATTCACAAAACCAACCTAATCGGCAGTGATCCCAAAACTGCACCGCTACAGTTCAAAGCAGCAATTGCACTCTCAGCCTGCAAGAGAAACACAACCTATAGCATATGAACACTATCTTCATGCACTGTATTATAACACAGATGCAGCTGAAAATGGTGACAAAATGCCACCAGAGTGATTACATGTAAAATTAAGTACCTAATTCTTTCTATCAAAATAAAGAAACAGCAGTCAAAGACACGTGTACCTTAGTACCAGATCAAAAAGAATGCATTTTCAATGCGTTCCCTAAGAGCACATGTTAGGAAATTTAAAATGTATGTACAATTTTTATTGCATGCACTTCCATGCAAGATGTATAAGCATTTTAAGGCTTCCTTTGGGAGTTAACTAAAAAGCTAGCTTATTGGCTAAAAAATAAGCTAAGGAAAAAGCTAGTTCGTTTGACATATTCCTAACTTTTATAACTTTTCTAACGACATTTTAGAGTGGCTTAAAGTTGGCTTTTTGGCGGGAAATGGATGTCCTAAGCATGGACACTTCTAAGGTAACGTGTCGTGTCCGACACCAACACAACACCACTTGTCAAACATTTCCCAACACTCCGACACAAACAGAACACGTTACAAGTTTAAATAAATTAACTTGGAAAATAGTAAAATAAAAACAAAGTAAATTTATACGTAGTCTTCTCATTTAGACTTTAAAACTTAGCATTTTTTACTTAAATATTCATGCATATGACATATATTTATCCTTCTATATTACTTACAATAAATATATAAAATTATATACTTTCCACATGTCTCTCACATGTCATCTCCTACATATTTTGAAAATTTGCATGTCGGCATGTTTGTATCGTCACATGTCCGTGCTTCTTAGGGTATGTCCAAATGACCCAAAGGATTTTGTGAACAAAATGGATTTTTTAGCCAAAAGTTGGCTTTTAAGAGGTTGTCCAAGGAAGCAAAAACTTCTTATTAACAAAACCCTTCTTAAATTATCTTCTAGCAATTAATTTTGATACACTGAGCAAGGCCCAGAGTAAGCCCCAGGCTCAGATTTTTTTTTCCAAGTTTGATATTAAAGCAGGTTTCCAGCAGGTTGGAATTCTTATGTGGTATTTAGTAGATCTGTATCACATCATATACCAATCCAACTCAATGACTCCATTCATACAGAATTCACCAGAAAAGGAACACCATGAAATGACAGGGACATCCATTATTCGTAGTCATGTTCCAATAACTATCCACAGTGATGTGGCAATGGAGTTGGCCCACATGTCATTAAGTGTATAATGATCGGAGCAGATATATTCAGCAAGGTTAAACGTATTAAGGAAACTAGAAGATAGGATGGACGGGAGAGAGGGTGAGAAAAAGCACTCAACAAAGAACCAAATGGAAACATATTCCCTTATTCAATGGTGTACAATGTACATTATCATTCAGTTTAATAGTTCTATTATGACAATGTAATTGTGAGGTTACGGGACCAATTCAAGCTTACAACAGCAAAAACCCAAATACTAAAATCAGCATATGATGCTGATTGAACATGTGTTTGTACCAAGAGACATTCTCTTACTACTTAAAGACCATGCATTGACTTACAAGGTTGTAGATAGAGCTGACAAGGGATTAGAGGTTCTATGGAGAGTGGTAGAACATGTCAGACACTGCAGACCTAGAGTACTGGGGAAGATATGGAGCAGTCCAGCTAAAAGAGAGCCAATGGAGTTCAATAGCTCCAAGTACATAGCTCAAGGAAGACCTCTATAATAGCTCAAAGTACAGCTCAGGGAAGACCTCTTAGAAGACGATGAATGTCCAGACTTGTTATGTAAAGGAGTGCTGCTTATATTTGTAGAAGGTTGTTCATGACCATAACCATTTGCCCAGATATTCTGTTACGATACATTATAACTATTAGATTGTTCGGATTTGTCTCAATATCTCCAAGGTTCTGGACGTGAGCAAAGTGATATGATCACTTATAGTAGAGCTGCCCTAATGCAGCTATACCCACGGGAACCTCTCGTGGTGCTTGCCTAAGACCTCAGCATCCTTAAGCCCCGTCTCTTAGCCTAGACACCTTAAACCATTGGCGAAGGGGCACGGGGAAACGTTATGACCACTGTGGTTATGTGTCATGCCATACAACCACCACAATAGAGAGATTCCAGGACTCCTAACTCTCATGGGGGCATCAATTCGGCGAGGCTTCACATAATTTGAGTCTTGGGGCTTGAGCATATACGAGATGCTTCCATGTCCTTCAATATGGGTCCGTTAAGACTGAATGCATAAAGTCATGAACCTTACACGTGTCCCTCAAAAGGCTAACATTGTAGGTTCCTGTGCTGACATGTAAAATATATGCCACTGCTTGCGTTCACAACATGTGACGGTGTAGAAGGTATCTCTATTTGCCCCTGCACACACATTCATTACGCAATGTGGAAATGCATGCAAACATATGACTAATGTTTCCTATGTGTCAGGTTCTCAAACCTTATTGCCCCGGGCATCTAAATGTCGTGGTATAACACCAATGATGTGTCATGCTGTATGACCACTTTGGCGATACATTGCTCAGTAAAACCTTCGTGATAGTGAGATGCCTAAACTACTAACTCCGGCGGGATGACAGGTCGACGAGGTTTCATATAAATGTAGCCTTGGGACTTGGGTATATATACAAGATGCCTATGTGTCCAACATATGGCTCAGTTAATATCGAACACATGGACCTTATATGTCCCTGTCGAATGACGTGTTACGTGTAAAGTGCATGTCACATGCAAGAGGTATCTATCTACAAAGATTAAGCGAGACTACTCCTAACTTGAACAACCCAAACAAAAGATTGTAAAATTCAATAATTGACAAATCCAAATGCCAAGAGGTTCGTATGATGAAACTACATTCTCTATAGTCCTACACATATATTAATTGTGAAGCGGTGCCCATCCAAAAAAGAATAACAAGAAGACAGGTCAAATTCACAAATTAAGGTTTTAGTGCAAGAGGCCATCTTGTTTATGCTATGAAGTGCATTGATAGCATCATCAATCAACATACTAAAGAGGATAAGTTAAAAATGTCCCTCACATATTTTGGGAGCAAGAAAAATGCCCCTTGCACATGTTGCACATTTATTAAATCATTATAAAATAATAAATATCAAACGCTAAAAGACAATAAGAAGCATCCACAAAGTTGCTATAGCATAGGAGTAGATAAATGATGGTAGACTGACTTGTAACCGCAAGCAGTCAAAACATAAGACCACAAATCATATGAATCAAGTCTCTTCACTGTAATCACAAATTAAGTCCACTACACCAAATGATTATTGGTGCATGATAGTCAAATAATAATAGAAATACATACTAATTGGTAAGTCATATGAATCAAGTATCTTCACTGTAATCACAAATTAAGTCCACTACACTAAATGATTATTGGTGCATGATAGTCAAATAATAATAGAAATACATACTAATTGTTAAGTGATTTCCTAGCAAAAGAAGAAAGATAATTTATAAGCCAGTTATAGGAGGCACTCAAATCAATGCATAAATAATAAATAAGAGTCTAAGGAGACACCAGTGCAATACAAAATTGAAGGAAGCAGGTTGGATTTGTTATGCGCAAAGAAGTTCAATGACTCCAATGGATAAGGAATGATATGGTTCAAGCTAGAGGCAATGCAAGCTTGCATGGCATCATTACATCCGCAATGTGAGCCCATTTGTGAAACGGTTCTCTTTTTTCCTAGCAGGACCACACATCTCTAAAACTACTAATTCCTCAAAGAATAACAGGACAAGTCCTGCATCGTCCAAAGTATCAAACAAGCTCAACTCGTCCATGATGATTGTTCCTTTTTTCTTACACCAATTAGACAGACTAACAAAGCAAAAAGAAAACACCAAACAAAGATAGAGGAGCAATAAGACACAAATTCATCCAACATTTTCTTTCTCAAAGATGAGAGATGAGAATGCAATTTCTGCAGGAGAAAATCATCACTAAACAGGAGAACTATGTTTGCTCATTCCCTCACTGCATCAGAAGCAGCTCGAAGCATAGCTGTCAAATTGGGATTCAACTTGTGAATCATAATGATTCAGTCACTTTTTCTAAATCACATAGAAAAATATATCTACACACTTAGATATTAAATATATCTTAGAAATACGAAATATTTTAAATCAACAAAAATGTCATTTTGAATGATGATCACATAGTCTAATAGATAAGAACTTAACATGGGCTCCCATGTGTAAGAACACCACCTTATCTTTTCCATTTTAGATATTGCTTACCATTCTTAATAAAGCAAGTAAACATCGACAAACTTTCAATTCCAAGCAACAATAACTCAACAATAATGTTTTTAACTTTTTACAAAGAAAGTAAAAGAAACACTCACCTCAAAACGGGGGGTTAAGAAACCCAAATCTCCAAAAATTTTAAAAATTCTCACTTGATGCCTTCAAAAAATCCCTTTTATAAATGCAAACAAGTAGATAAAATTGAATATTAAACCTAGAACATTGTACAAAGAGAAGGATCGTCTTTTTTGTAGCGTTCGAGTCTTTGAGAGTAAATAGGGAGGGAGAAAGTCAAAGGTAAAGACCTTAAAAAAGTTGTGTAAACCCTTTTTCAACATAAAACCCAAAAAGGAGTGGCAAAAATCAATTTCAATGAATTGAAAATGAATCGATTGATTCACAATTCACCAATTTGGTTCAACGATTCACCCTCAATTTACAACTATTTGTGATTCACGCAATCTATTCATATTGCTTACCTACTTAATCAATTCGTATGATTCTAATAACAAAGGCCCAAAGACCTATAAAGCACGGACACAGACACGGATACGGATACAGGACACGTGATTTCAAAAAAATAGGGACATGAACACGGCGAGAGACACCGAAAAATATTATTATATATATTTGCTATGTAAATTAATATTATGTTACCAAACAATCAAAAATAATAAAAACTAACATTAATTCAATATATATAAACCACTACATTTAAACAAATTAATAAATTATCTATATTTGAACACGCTTGTCCCTGCCGTGTCCCCTGAAAAAAAAAATATAGATAAATAAATTAAAGCGTGTCCCCTACAAAAAAATAAAAATAAAATTAAGGTGTCCCCACATCCGAGATTGCTACGGCACCTATTTTGAAGTATCTGTGGCTACATAGCCAAAGACTCTAGAAACGACCTGCAAGGCCCAAGGGTAGGGAGAACATGAAATGTTCACAACTAAAGATCAACATCCTCTTCAAAGTAGAAAAAATTATAACCTTTAGTGATGGTTGTCCAAGTAGCAAAGCTACCTGCTTATGCCTCTGGTTAATCAAGCTCATCAATCATAACAGCTTCACAAAATGATCTCTTCTATTCTTTGTTAGTGTTTTCAACTAACAATATGACTCAAAAATCTTGTCTTAGTGAGAGCAACAAAGCACAATGTCACCCTACCTGCAGAAGGAGAGAAAAGCTCTCCACCGTCTTTGTGCCTATTATTGCCAAACATTTAATACACACCATATTTGAGAACGGAATTAAGTGCATAAATCTACATGCACCCGGTGGTTTATCAATTAAATGCATTACGCATGAGCACTTGTCACTAAAATCATGAAACTGACTGAAAATAGGTTAGGTCATAGAGACATACTATTGAAAGTTGAATACCGATTATTGAATACAGTTCATGACACGAGTTTTTTGTTTTCATTCTCAACTAAGTATTATTTTCAAAAACAATCAAATCTAAAAATTCTATGATTAAATGTTTCAAAACTAGAAATTCATTAAATAAAATTTTCAATGGTTAATTCTAAATTTATTAAACAGCCTACAATCTTTGTTAAATAACTGACTACAATATTTTACGTATGCCCTATGAGTGCATCCTAAAAAAACCTATCAACAATTATGCAAGCTTTCTGTCACCAACTTGTAGCAGCTTACTTCTCTTTAGCCTTAACTTAAGGCCCCCTTTAACACACGTCATCCCCCAGTCTGGGGCTCACTACACCTCAGGAGCTCCTAAGACCTCCTGAGGCACTTGCTCAAATTCAACCAGAAGACACCTTTTTCTCCATAAGTAAATCCAAGACACACTTTTCAACCCACTAATTGTAATCTAATCAACATTTCCGACAAGAATTTCCTACTAAGGTGTTGTTTGATAATGATGAATACTACAAATTAAGTACTAAAACTAAATGGCGAATTTTTTAATTTACAAAATTGTTTGGTATGTACTAAAAAAATTAAGAGCTAAATTTAATCAAATTGCTTGATATGTACAAGAAGTTGAAGTTTAATAGTGACGGTGGCAGTGGATGTGTTATGGTGGGACTATAGTTGATGAAGGTATTCGTAAAGTGGTGGGGTGATAGAATGGGTGGGGGTGGTAGTGGCACCAGCTTTGGTGGTCAAGTGGTGGTGGCGTTTGGGGATAATTGTGCTGATGATATTAATGTTGTTGGTGATCGTAATTGGGTGGTGGTGGTTTTATGGCTATGGTTATGGTTATGGTAGCAGTTGTGGTGGTTGCAATAGAGGTAGCAGTGATGGTGGCTGTGTAGTAGAGGTGGTGGGTGATAGTGTAGTGACAGCAGCAACGGTGCTAGTGAAGTTATGATGGTAGCAACAATAACAATGGTCTGGTGGTGGGGGTAGAGTAAAGGTGGTGCTGGTGATAATGATGCCAATGACGGTAATGGAGTTGCAATGGTGGCGGCAACATTGGTGTTGCGGTGGTGGCAACATTGGTGGTGATAGATTGGGGGTGACAGTGGTGGTGATTTGGGGGGGTGTTCATGGCAGCAATAGTTGTACAGTGATGGAGTTGGAGAGATGGAGCCAATGGCAACGGCGGTGACAGCGGAGTGATGGTGGTTGTTGAATGGTGGTGGTGAAGGCACAACTTAATTGCTGCATAAGTGGGAGAAAAATTAAGCATTCAGTAAGAAGTCTGATATTTAAAATTTAGTTTATTTTTAAGGGGTACTAGAATTTTGAAGTGATATGAAATGTGGTTTATCAGACACACTTAATTTATTTTCACTAAACCCAATCAGCTTTAAGTGTTTAATTCGGTTATATCAAACAACCCCAGTCAAAGAACGAGGCATCTAAAATGGTGACAGAATGCAGTATACAACTTGCACCTGTAGATATGCAGGATGCACTATGATGGAGGAACCAAGAAGTCGTGCATATTTCCAACCCCAAAAGCAAAGAACTAGGACATGCTAAGCTGAGTGTCTTTCTAGAATGAAGTTACGCAAAAGTAGAATGATTTCACAATCATATGAATCATAATCACTGGAACCAGAAAACAGAAAAACAAAACAAAGTTGTCTTGAATTTGACAAAGGCAAAATGTAACACCAAGTTATAAATTCAGTTGCCAAAATACATTCTTTCAAATGATTCTCCGGAAAAAAAAAATCCTAAAGCTTGAATTTGGCAAGGCATCATGACATAATCAGATACTCACATGATGGTCCAACTAAAATATTGCACCAAACTAACCTGTGAGCAACACATCAATTGTGTAGCTGAACCCCAATGGTTGAGATTAGGCCTCTCAAGTCAAGCTGACTCTTTCTAAAGGCACCCCAAGTCTATCATCAAAGACATTACATTTTCTACTTTATGATTCCTTAATTTCATTAGAAAGCTTATTAAGGCATTATAAACAACCTCTAACAAAATACAAAGAACAGCATTTTTCTTTATCCACATGTTTCACATCTTTCACACCCATCAAGTCATATCATAGCATCAGTTATTTCATTAGAGATCTATTCAATCAAATCAAAGCAGCCACTTCTAAAATAAAATAAATATGCACAAATAATTTACCTTCATTCTTCCCAAAAAAAAAACTCTTTAATTAGTTATTGAAAACTCTCAAAAATCTTTGTCTAAATTTTGGGAAGTCCAGTTCCAAACAGCACTGAAAAATAAACTACCAAAAATAAATATTTTGACCCAGATTAAAATATATGAATCACACAAATTCATAGTGCAAAAGAAGATAACAAAGAGCAGCAAGAAGCTAATGGAATTGACAATATGGGAACAATATATTATTATCAACTCTAAAACAGATAATCATGTTGCATACAAAATATGAAATAGTAACACAAATGAAAAGAATGTGGTAGTTACCATTATAAACTCAACAAAAGCAATATGAGTCGAATGCTGATAGTCTCCAAGCAACCTCAAGCGGTGAACCTATGGCATATAAGATGTTCCACAACATATGGTTAGGAATTCAGGAACGAGAAGCACTTTCAGATTTGTCACAAAAGCAGCTACAAACCTCTCCACAAATGGATTCGAAAAATAGCTTAACATCTGCTTGAGTAACCTGTAACAGATAAACATATAGATTGTCAACATTTTGCTCACTCAATGCTTGCTAAACACATACAAAGGTGTTGTATACAAATTCCAAAATTACCTTCTTATCAATATTTGTACAATAAATTGTCCTCGCACACATCTCCCGTTCATCTTCAGACTAGAAAACAGCATCCAAGCATTCAAAGTAAAAAGGCAACAAATTTGTATCAGCATGACTTCACATGCATTCAATTTCCGAGACTGACCAACCACTAGCATGAATAGTTCACATTACAAGGGCGTGAACTGGCAGAAGAACTTCTCACCCGTGGCAAAAACGTAGGATTAACAGGTGCAATTGCAGTTTTTGAAGGCAAAACCCTGACTGGGTAGTATCCAAGCATAGTCCCTGCCAGACTCAAAGCATTTCTTGCACCTTCTGCAGTTAATTAAAATGTAACGCCACCCAAATTCATCAATTACATATCAAATAGAGAAATTGTAAAGTAAACATCTATTCATAATATATATATATATATATTAGATAAACAAGGTTGTTATCATACCCTCATCAGTAAACTCAATAAAGGCAAAACGGAGAACTGAATTAGGGTCACCACAAACACGACAATCAACCACCTTCAACCAAAAGATAGGAGAAAAATGTTAGAAATGCAATGGTCCATTAGCACAAGTAAAAAGGGGTGCCAATGTGATCAAACACAAATGCAATTACCTGTCCACAACTAATAAAGAGAGCTGCAAGTTGTTCTTCCGTAACCTAAATCAAACCCGAAAGCACAACAAATGTCCAAGATAGTTTCATAACAAAAAAATGCTAAATACCCAAAACAAGACAACTGCAAAAAAAGACAATCCAAAAGCTAACATAACTGCTCTTTACCTGATGATCAATGTCAGATACATACACAGTCCTCCTAATTACCTCTTCTCGCTGCGCCATACTCGTACGGCTGTTGATCCTTCTCTTCCCCTGACTATAGCTATTCTTCTTCTGAACATAAATTCGCAAAACCAAAACCATCAGTAAAATAGCATAGCACACAACAAAACTAACATGAATAAAAAAAAAAAACAACAAGACTCCTAATTACCTCTTCTCGCTGCGCCATACTCGTACGGCTGTTGATCCTTCTCTTCCCCTGACTATAGCTATTCTTCTTCTGAACATAAATTCGCAAAACCAAAACCATCAGTAAAATAGCATAGCACACAACAAAACTAACATGAATAAAAAAAAAAAAACAACAAGAGGAAGAAGCAATTAATCCTTCATTTGGAAACAACAAAACAAATACTAGTTCTCAAGTACTATATGGTTGTCTCAAACAAAAACAAGAAAAATAGAAATATCTAAATTTAGGAGTATTATTTATACAGAAGGAAATTTTCTTAGCAACCAAACGGAGCAGTGCAAAAGAAAAAAGAAAAAATATATATAGATATATAGATATATACCCGTCTAGCGGTGTTTCCATTGGCAATGCCAGAGTTAGTTTGCATCAGAAAATTGTTGGAATAACCAAGGAAGCCATTAGAGGGTTGCAGTGGTCTGTAATTGGAGAGAGATGGGGGCACAAATTCTTCAGCCATAGGGTTCAACTTAGACAGCATTTCCTCCAAATCCCTCATCTCTCGCTTAAAACCCTCACCACCATCATCATCATCATCATCATCTCCATGATTTCTCATCAATTCACCATTGCCGTGCTGCTGAACTACACTCACTTGAGCAACAGACTTGTGATTATTAACAGTACCGTTACCGTTCACCGGAGCAGTGTTGTTGTTCATCGTCGCCGGCGATGACATCATCTTCTGTTGCTGAGCGATCATGTGGAAACTCTGATGATGATGTTGATGATCATTTGACCTCAAAATAGGGTTAGTAGTGTTGTTGTTGTCGTTGCCCTGGTGGTGGTGTTGTTGTGTTCCCATGTGATTTGACTTCGATTGATCCATCGACTCGGTCCGATTTGACGAGTCTACGTTGATTCCAGCATTCTCAACTACCGCCATGATCGAACACCTCCGTTACTCCAAGAAAACAATTTGTGTTTTTTTTCTCCGATGAGTTCTGTAAAGTTTTCCGATCGTCAAACAGAGAAAATAAAAATAAAAATTCAAAACATTGGTCGAAAAACAAAAATCATACCTAATGAGTCTAAAACGCGTCCATTGATCAAAAAAATAAAAACAACCAGCACCTCGAAGATCTAAGCAAAAAAACAAAGAGGAGAGAAACAGAGCAGAACTTTTCCTTTCTATACTATTATTTTATTACTGATTCAGCTGATAGAATATGTACTATTTATATATATATATATATATATATTTTTATGTATATATGTAGAGAGAAATTATTTTTTATAGATAGGAACGTTTGCGAGAGAGAGAGAGAAGAGGTGTGTGCTTTGAACCATCCGTTTTCGCCAGTCTAACAATTTTGGACGCACATCACAAAAACCCAAAATGATGAACAGTGAGTGAAGCTTTCAACTTTACTAACCATCTCTAATGGTTTATTAAATACATCTCTAATGGTTTATTAAATGGATTATTAAATTTAAAATTGATAAAAAAAAAATTATTTTTTGTTGCTTCAATTTAGTACCAAATTTTTCATTAAATTTAGAATTTTTTAAATTTTTTTATCAATTTAAGGACAGATGTGTCTTTCATCAAATCACTGTTCATTATCGTTAGACTTTCATCACCGAATGTCCACCTCAAAGTAAAAATTTGTAAGAACATTACACTGACCGATTGACAGGCCGGACATCTGCCTAGCCGTCTAATGGTGAACCGGTGGTTTAATGAAGCTTTAAAAATCTATGTTAGAGCACTTGATATTAAATGAAATTTTTTACTTTAAAAAAAAATAAAGTTATTACTTCAATTTAGTACCAAATTTTTCATTAAATTTAGAATTTCTTAATTTTTTTTATCAATTTAAGGACGGATGTGTCTTTCATCAAATCACTGTTCATTATCATTAGATTTTCATCACCAAATATCCACCTCAAAGTAAAAATTTGTAAAAACATTCCACTGACCGGTTGACCGACTGGGCATCAGTCTAGTCGTCTACCTAGTGAACCGGTGGTTTAATGAAGCTTTGAAAATCTATGTTAGAGTACTTGATATTAAAGGAAGCTTTTTACTTAAATTTGGTGAAAAAAATAAAAATAAAAATGCAAAGTTACAGATGCCCTAACCCAAAATTCAAAAAAAAAATTTAATTTTAAATGAGTAGGGTAGAACCCTCAAAAAAATTATTAAAAATGAATGGAAAATATTATGGTACACATCTTTTAAAATGACTCATTAATTGTTATAAAATGACAAAAAAAATATGTACCATATGCACTTAAAGAAGAAAATTACATAATTTTATATTTTGAATCATAACTAAAAAAATATCATAACTAAATACAACATAAAGTATAACTAAAGATATCATGAGTTATAATTAAAATAATTTCATAACTAAAGAAGAAAATTACTCATAACTAAAGAAGAAAATTGTATAACTAAGAGTGCTTATGGTACACTCCTTGTAAGGGTGTACATAAGAATTTCCCCAGCTTGTTTGGTTTCACTTTACGAGATTCACTTTTTAGAAAATTAAAATTTTTTATTTTTCATTTTTTTTCAATGAATTTTTTTTTAATATTAAGCAATTGTTTTAATTTTTAGATACACCTAATATAAATACACTTAAAAAATACAATATCTATGAAAAAAAAAATCTTTAAAAAATTCATTATGTACCAAAAATACAAAAAAAAATGAAAATTCAATTGTCTTCTTGTGTATTTGTCAATTTTTTACAAATATTTTACTTTTTAAATACATCTAAATAAGGTGCATTTAAAAAAGTAAAAAAAAGTTGCTTAAAATTTTACACTGTAATAACCCAACCCGTATTATGCTTAATTAAACACGTGTTTATGTGTTTAATATGAATTTGCAAGTTAAGTATGTGAATTATGTGATTTTGGATTTTATATCTGTTGAATGTAGGAAAATCTGTTGCAATTAAAACTTTAAACTGAAAATTGAAAATTGAAAGTCTTAGAGGCGTGATAAACCAAAACCGACTTCATATTTGTGATTAGCATGATTTTTAAAACCTACGGTGAAATTTTGTAAAATTATGATATGTATATATATATATAGTTCTTAAGTTCATCATTTTTTGTGAGAGCTTTGCTAGAAGGTGAGTTAGAGAGAGAAGAAGAGGAGAAGCTAGAGATTTGGTGGAGATTCAAGGGGCAAACTCTAGATTAAAGCTAAGGTATGAAAATTTACTTAAAATCTTTGTCTTTAGCTCATATTTGGCATGAAATCATGTAATGGGTTGAACTAAATGCAAGAAATCTCTTTATGTTTGTTTGTTTTAAGTCCAATCTTATGATTGATGCATGAAATGAGCTCTAGATTGTGCATATAACAAAGATTTGTTGAAGGATCATCCATGTTTTTATGTATTTAAGCTTTATCATGAAATTTATGAAGTTATGAAAAATGTGAGACCTTGATTTTGTTATTGAAGCAAAATTGATATGTTTGATATGTAATTACCCTTGAATTATACTAGTATAACATGTTTTTGGATTAGCTTTGCTTGAATTTGGGGTTGGAAATGAGTTTGGAGGGTTTCATTTTGGCCATTTTCGAACTATCTAAGTTTGCCCAGACCGCACGAGCGGCCACGGGCACCGCATGAGCGGAACATAAAGAGAAAAAAAAAATTGATTCTGCTCCTTGGGCGCTTAAGCGGCCGGTTTTTCCGCTCGAGCGGATTTGGGCTGCACAAGCAGTGAAGACTTCCACTCGCGTGGAACTCCTGTTTCAGCCCAACTTTAAAAAGGCATGTCTCCTTCATTCGGACTCTGTTTTAGATGATTATTGAGCCTAAATTTAAACCCCAGAAGTCTAGTTTCCAATGGTGGTGGTCTCACATTCAAATTCTAAATACACAAATAGATATGTTCAAATTAGTGAAGATTGTTCGCTTTCTTTCTAACCGTTTCATGCTATTTCCTCTCCTAACTCAGTTTCCTTTCGTTTCTTCCTATTTTCCTAGAGACGGATTATGACCCATTGAGGACTAATGAGTCTAGAACCAACAAAAGTAATTGGTTAAGGAGCAAAGTAAGGGATTGATTTATTTGGTTAAGAAAAGATTAAAAGAAGTAAATTTAATCAAGAGAGTAATTCCATGTTCCAATATGTTGTGCCATGCACATTGTATTTGCGGGTCATGATTCGAGGACCGATCAACCATTACTGGAAACCACTGTGAGTAATAGTATAGTAATGATATGTTTTCATTATCTATTTTGATTTATGTATGACATGATCTTTTAAATATCGTATTTTGTCAAAAGGTACAAGTTTTTAAAAAATGTGAAATGAGTTATGAACAAGGAATGTGAATTGTTTGAAATATGATATGGTGGGCCCAGGGTTGTTCCGTTTATGCTATGACATGATATGAATTGTTCAGTCTTTAAGACCTATTGATTTCTGGTATGGAACTAAGTGCTACAGTGGAAGCCACCTCTAAGGTCCGTACGAGTCATCTCTTAGGTCCATACACACTTACATGATTGGGCCTGAGGCCGCTTGTTAAATAATTTGGCCCGAGGCCGTTGATAATGATTGGGCCCAAAGCCGCTTGTTAAATAATTGGGCCCGAGGCTACTTGATAAATGATTGGGCCCGAGGCCGCTTGTTAAATAATTGGGCCAAAGGCCACTTGATAAATGATTGGGCTCCAAGGTAGGTTGTTAAATGATTGGGCCTGAGGCCGCTTATTAAATAATTGGGCCGCTTGATATATGATTGGGCCTGAGGCCGCTTGTTATATGCTTGGACCTAAGGCCGCTTGGTTTATATGATTATGGATATTGTGAGAACCTTATGGTTATCTACTTACACTGCTTTACTGTATTATTACTTATTGAGTTTCGCTCACTCAATTTTATGTATTCACATGTAGGTGATCAGCAACATGGAGCACAACCCTAGAGTCAGCTTCAGGAGCCTTTTGTGACCCAATTGAGTCATGCCTCCAAGGCGGAGTTTTGTCTTGACTCACACCACACTTTGACCTTATTATGTTTTTGCCATTATGGTCTTGGATTTGTAAATAATATGTGTAAATTTTTTGTGGCACTTATATTTTTGATGGACATATATATGTATTATTATGTTACGTGGTTAACTTTATGATTTTGCTCATGATTGGCACAGCTCAATAGACTTCTCTTTATTATATGCTTCTGTTTATGGCCCCATTAGTATAAATATTCGGTATGATCGTTTGAGGCCTTCGGTAATTTACGGATTATTGGCCGGTAATTACCCAAACTTTTAGGGACGGGTTCAGGTCATGACATACACTAAAAACAAAAATAATACGAAAAATAAAAAATTGACTAGAAAATTGAAATCAAATACAATATAATATCGGTATTATTTTTTATGTCTTTAGTTTTTTGTTTTTGTTTAAATGTTAATTTGTGAAAAATTCACACTTACATATTATTTGGTCCAAGATAAAGTCGACAGAGTCATTAACAGCCACTTGGGTGATATTAAGCATGTATGTGTTACCTGGACAAACAGCTGACATTTAGACAAATAGGCAAATAAATAAATTTTGAATCGATAATTGGTCTTTCGGACACAACAATATTCTTTTGGTCCAAAATTTACGCTCAGATTTCGTTTGGAAATATATTATTTTAATAATTTTTTTAATTTTTTACAAAAAAATGTGTAGAAAAATAAAAAGAGTGATATGACAATTTATAATGACATTTTAATTTTTTGACTAAAATATATGATTGACAAACGAGACCTTAAACTTATTCGTCTAACAACTTCAAAGGATACCCTCAGACCTGAGTATTGAAAAAACTTTGTATAAATGATGAATAATGTGTTCGATTTATATTTAAGGAAAAATTACTCATAAATTTCATTTGAAGAAAAGTTATTTCATTTAGTCTTAAAAGTTTTTTTTCAAATCAATTAGTCTTTTTTATTTTGGATATGTTGTATTTCCTTAATTTAGGGTTTTAAAAGTTTACTTGTTTGCCTTTGTGCATGATTTTGTTTAGATTTTTTCTTAATGTTGGATGTGCGTGGGCAAAGTAGATTTTTATATTTCTATTTTTTTATGGGAATTTAGTGGAGTGATTTGTAGGCGGATGATGTTACTCCGCTTGTGGTGTTATTGGTGTGGTGTTCGTTCCTATTGTAATATTGACATTAATTAAAATCTAAACGTAACACTAATGTAACA